TTTTAATTTTATATAATTGAATTTTTAACTAATCAAAAATTGACGCATAACATGTCATATCAAAAAAGAGTTACGAAATTTTTCCAAAAAATTAATTGTGTGATTGAGATTATCTTTTTTTTGGGGGGATGGTGGGGAATCGATGGAATTAATATATGCCGTACATCTATAGAATAAATCTAATAACCATGTATTAATAGTAATTTTAATTCTAATTAATGTCTAAGTAAAAATGTGAGTATATAATATTTCTATTCCATGAGTAAAATTCTATTCATACATAAAATTTTACAAAAATAATGTAATAATTTTATTATTGTAAATAAATAGAGAGTTGCTAATAATTGCAGCTTCTTTATTTTGGACCCCTACATCTTTCATTTTTTTAATTACAATTTTGTCACCATTGCATCCATTGCCTTTTCTTCATCCATCAGCGATGATTTTTATCAATTCTGCTGCTCTTTACCACTGTGATGTCCACCATCGCAGCCCTGACCGTTACGTCTCCACTTTCAAGATCGCACCACTTATCTCCCGCTACCCCCATCACACCAAGCACTCCAGTCCCTTGCCTTGCCACCACCCCGTTCGGATAACCAAATCCGTACAAAAGGCCAATGTACGGTAGTACGTAACCGAACAAAATGAACTATTCGGACATGGCCAACCAAAGTTGAACAAACAACATTTGTTCAGCTGTGGAGTACCGATCAAATTCAAAAAGTTTGACTATGTATAGCCGAACAAGGTCTGCAATGGCAGCTAGGGGTGTGCGTGATGTAATTCAAGCAGTTTGAGAGTAAAATTATAAACCAAATTGTAAATGGCAGATCGACAAATAACCAAACTGCGACTTGGGCAGTTTTAATTTATTAGTTGATTGAAGAATATTTTTAAACAATTACCAACTATTGGCATAATATATAATACTAATTTTCATAATATTTTTCATATATATAACTACTAATTTGAAACAAATTTCACATGTTAAATTTCTCTCATACTCATTTTTATTTTGATATTTTATCAGTGATTACAAAAATATATGTTAATTATAGCGGAGCGGAATGATTTCAAAGGCAAATTATAAATTTAAAAGTTTAATCTCCAATTAGTAGATAGATCAGTACAGATTAGTGCAGACCGGTGCAATTTTAGCAAATTAGATGATATTTTGCACAGATCTAGTGGCAGCTGGACTATGAGATAGAGAGAGATCGATGACGAGAGAGACAAAAAGGAATGAACGGTTTAAGGGTTCAATGTGGGTGATGGCCTAGGGTTAAGGTTTGAGGGGTGGAGAGTTGGCGGAGAGGATAGCAGAAGGGTAGTAGTAGGTGGTGGCTGAGATGGTGATGAAGGTAGCCGGAGTGGAAAAACGATGAAAAAGAGGGTCTGTTGGAGTACGATAAGAGGGTGCAATAAAATGAGAGTAATGTTGGGAATACGGTGTGATCCAAAGAAATATAAATAGGAAGCAATTTTAAAAAGTAAGAACCCAAAAAAATGAGAAATCCAAAATTAGTAAAATAAAAATTATTAATAGCACTCGATCCACAATAAGGCATATCATCATATGCAAAAATTATATATAAAAAATTTATTTATATAGCATTACTCATTCTACAAATATCAATTGAAGATCCTCCTTAAAGCGTTAAGATTCTTTGATTCAACACGGTCGTCTGCCATTCTTGCAACACTATTAAAACTGACTGTGTGTTTGTCAATGTAAAAAAACATTTGAATTTAGTAGGCCTATTTTGTAATTGATTTTGGTAATCTGAATTGTTTATTTTTTTGAATTCGTTAAGAAAAATATTTTTGTAAAAAATCAAGATGATTAGCTATTGGTAACTAGATGCTTGAATCATATTTGGTTTAAAAAAATAGACATATATAATTTCAAAAATAATCATATATTTTTTGTAAGACAAATTTGATTCAAACATATTGCTATCGATATCTAATCATTTTGATTTTTTCCATAAATATTTTATTCAACGAGTCCTAAAAAGTGAACGGTTCAGATCATTAAAACAAAACTTGTGGTGAGTTTCACAAGCCTCTCAAGTTCTCTGATATTGAGATGTGAATATGAGAGAAACATAATCCTTTTTACAAACACATCCCTTAAAATTTACTTAAAATACAAATTACTTTCTATAGCTTGGAAAATTACAAATACTTCTTTATCGGAATTTTTTATTTAACAAATTAATTGAAAAAAATAAATTCATATCTAATCTCTTATACAATAATAAAATTATTTCAATTATTAATTAAAATATATTTTTGACATCATTAAAAAAAGTTAACTGATTTAATAATTTATTAATAAAAATTATGATTTATTATGAAATTCAAAATTTCAAGGGACGGATGTAATTGTTGAAAAATAATGATTTTTTGACAACTTTAATACTAAATTAAAATGAGACTTAACCACTGATTGGGTGGATCTAAGTGGTATTATATTCTCTTAAATGAAAAGATTACAATGCAAAAAAAATGAGCCAAAACCATTGAGTTTTTAATGAGAAATTGTGTCATATAGTGAGCATTAATGAAAGAGGTTTTAGGAAGGTGAGAAACCACCTATCCCATATTGGTTAATATTGAAAACATTAATGAATATAAAGCCTAGGATTTGGATTTTAGTTTGGGCCCTTTGGGCATCTAAATTTTCTAAAGGAATAAAGTTATGCATGTTCAAAAATGAGACTTGGGCTTAATTATGCAAAAATTGCTACACGCGCTTATCGTTGCCCGTCTGAACAAGACCAAGCAGGTTCCGTGGATCTTGGATTCGAGCTTTGTCCAGACCAGACCAAGCAGGGTCTGTGGATCTTGGATTCGAGCCTGGGGGGGGTTGTGCTGTGCATGCGCATGTATTTGAGTTTAGACTCGGATCAGGTTGTGACCCAACACCGTATCTATTTTGCAACCTATTTGTTTGATTTATTCGTATAGCATTGTATATATTTATTTTTATATAATGCACATGAAAGTTCTAGACCTTTATAACTCTAGTCCTAACGGCCATAGTTATTGACATTTAATGGGCTTGGTTAATAACAATTGATGCCATGTTGATGATAGCCTTCATAGTTAAATTTTCCCGTACAAGTATAAAAAAGATCTTTCCTTCTAACTTTAAAATGAGTTTTTAGATATGGAAAATGGAGATGATTTTTTGCTTTAATTCTTGTTAGAGAGAATGCTATCATATAGAATTATATATGTTTATTTTTATATAATGCACATGAAAGTTTTAGACATTTATAACTCTAATCCTAATAGCTACAGTTACTGACATTTGATGACCTTAGTTAATAGCAATTGATGCCATGTTGATGATAGCCTTCATAGTTAAATTTTCTCGTACAAGTATAAAAAAGATCTTTCCCCTCCAACTTTAAAATAAGTTTTTAGAGAAAAAAAAAACGGAGATGGTTTTTCCCTTTGATTCTAGCTAGAGAGAATACTTTTAATGTTCAAGTTCATCGGAATTACTCTAGTGAGTATTACTCTGATAGGTGTTCATCTGTTATATCTTAAAAAGCAAACACTAACAGGCCTACTACATTACTAGTGACATGTCGAATCTGTTTTAAAGATATCGTGTAATTCTTTAATTTTTCAAAATTAATTTTATTTTAAGTAATCTTTATTTATCCATGTTACTAATTTGTTTTAATAATTTGATTTATTCGAATTCCATATTGTAATCTAGTTTGATTTTGTATTTTCAATTTTGTAATTTATTCTCTAATTTTATATGTTATTTCTCTATTTTGTTTTATCTAATCTAATTTATTTTTGAATTATTATGGAAAATACCAATAGTAATTTTCAGAAAATATTTAGACCCCCACAAAAGAAGACCCCACCGATGTATGATGTATTGACCATTGATGTATTTGAATTTTTTTTGAAAACTGTGTTTAACAGTGATATAAATAATTCAAATCATTTTAAAAGTTGTGGGGTTATATTTTATGTGAATGTCTAGCATTACTAAGTAATTTTCCAATTCATATTTTAAAGTGTATTTATAATTTATAATTGAGGATACCTTCGATGCCAGAAGAACAAAACAGCCCTTACACCCCAAAAATCATGAGACAGATTAAAAATAGAATGGAAAAAAACCACCACGTTACCTCTATATTAACTAGTCGCAATTTTGCAAAAACTATTTTAGTTACCATTTTAGAATTGAAATTATTTTAGCTTGTAATTAAAAATTTCATTCAGCAAAATTGTTTTAGTTTTTTAGACTTTTTATAAGTGAAAAAATAAAATAATTGTGATTTGAATAAAACTTTTATTTTATTAACTTATTTAGGAATTATTTGAAATTGTCTAAATAATTATACATTTTATGAAAAGATATATAGAAAAATAAAAAAATGATACAACCTAAAAAAAATAAATAAATAAAAGTATAGCAATATCAAAAATGCCAAACAACCTCTTGATCTATTTTATCTGTTATATGAATCAGCTTGCTTGTTTTCATTTTTCAAAAAACACTTTTTAAAAAATTTTATTTTCGTATTTTTTTGTTTTTATTGAATTTTTTTAATATTTTAAACATTTTTTTTAGTTTTTAGACATACCTAACATAAATACACCTAAAAAGTAAAAAAATTGTAAAAAAAATCTTTTAAAAATTCACTAAATACCAAAAATATAAAAAAAAAATACAAGAATTCAATATATTTTTATATATTTATTAATTTTTTAAAATATTTTTTCACAAATTTTTTACTTTTTAGATACATCTAACTAAAGTGTATCTAAAAAGTAAAAAAAATATTTAAAATTTTAAAAATATGCACTAAAAACAAAAAAATAAGAATACTAAAAAATTCAATTTTTAAAAAACTTAATTCATAAAACTCAAACCAAACACACTCATTATTTTTTTTTTTTAAATTCCAATTCAGATAACCAAACAAAGCCTAAATAAAAAAAACAACTCTACAACATATATAATAATATATACTAATTCTTCACTGCAAAAAAAAACTATCAACATTCACAATTTACATACAAAACTGGCTATCCTACAAATTCATTACCAAAAAGAAAAAATTCAGAGAGAGAGAGAGAGAGTAACTAAAGCTAAATCAATGAATTAAACCCAGGAATGGCGTGTTGGCGGCGGCGGCGGCATAGGGAAGAGGAGTTCAAGCTCCGGCGATTTGAAGTACCCATTCTTTGGTGGTTCCCTCTTTCCCCCATTGGAGCACCGCTTCTTCTTCGGTGGCGGTGGACACACCACCGCCGCCGGAATCTGACACCCACCATGCCTGGGTGTCAAACACCCTTCTTCTTCTTCTTCTTCTTCTTCTTCTTCTATCCCCATTGCTTTAATTATTATTTATAAGGATGATACCTCTGCTCACAACAATGATAAAAGCCAGAAAAAGTGGAGGAGATCTAAAAGGGATAAGTATGTGTGTAAGAAATTATGTATTATTGATTTATTGATTACAAGATTGATTGTTTCTTCTTCTTCTTCTTCTTCTTCTTCTTCTATCCCCATTACTTTAATTATTATTTATAAGGATGATACCTCTGCTCACAACAATGATAAAAGCCAGAAAAAGTGGAGGAGATCTAAAAGGGATAAGTATGTGAATGTAGAATATGCGTATGTGTTTTGTTTGGTTTTTTTGGCTAAGTTTTGGGAAGAAAGTGAATGCCAGCCAAGTGTTGAAATTTGAGGTCTTTGGTGGGCTTTTGAAGATGAATAATAATAATAAATAGTATGAAGAGAGAGGGAGAGAAGTGTTTGGCGTTGTCTGGAAGCTGCTTCTATTTCTGCTTCTGGAGCACGATTGAACTTGTGCGTACGGTACAAGCTACAGCTGGCGAGGTTTGGCATCTACGTGTCAGCTTGAGGGGTTGCTCTTTTACCAACGTGGGTTTGTCACATGTCTCAATTTGGACCGTGTATTCTTCGGCCATCGTTTTTTAAAACAAATGGCGCCAAATAAAGGTCGGTGGATGCGCGGGAATTAACAAGGATCCAATATTGATTATAATAAGTGGAAATTTTTTTTTAAGTTCGTTGATATTAAAAAAAAATTTATAAAGTAAAATGTATATAATATTTTTATATTAGTTAGTATTTTTTAAAGTAAAATGTATATAATATTTTTATATTAGTTAGTATTTTTTAATATTTCTATTTAAAAAAATTTATTTAGACAAATTTCGGCTTGATTCAAAAAAATTTCAACCTCGATACAGAAAAATTTCAAACAAATTTCAAAACACAGAAAAATTTCTTTAATTTTTTGTGGTTTAGAATTTTCTCTGGATTAAAATTTCTCTTTTTTCAAATTTTTTTAATATTTTGATCAATTTTCTCTAATTTGTTCATAATTTTCTCAGTATTTTAATCAAATCAAAGAAAATTGAACTACACTGTTCACCATTATGAATTTTTTTTTGATTTCTCTGTGTTTTGAAAATTTTCCAATATCATCCTATTCAAACCCTAAACATAAAAATTGGCCTCGTTTGGTTTGTTTTTTAGAAAAATTTTTGAAAAAATTTCTCTACAAACAAATTTACAAAAGTAATCAAACCAAACAAATTTTTTCAAAAAAAGCAGACTCGAATTTGGCACGAATAGCCCTCATGTTACAATCTTCTGGGATATTGCAGAAGTTTCCTGAGGTCTTGGAGATTGAACAGTAGTAGTGTTTGCTCCTTTTTTTTTTTTTTTTTTTGATCAGATCACACCGACACAGCTTGAACGTGGTGGAAGTGGTCTACAGCCAGAGGAGAAGAAGCCGGCACCGGAGAAGGCTGCAGCGGCGGCGGCGGCGGGATCAACGAGATCCGATGTGCCGGCGGGACACGTGGCGATCTGCGTGGGGAGGAGTATTCTTGATGGTTTGGGTGAATCTGGACCGTTGATTCACGGGTTGGGTGATGAATCAGTTTGTTGAGGAAGGAGAAAGAGAATTAGAAAATTTGGGTTTGTCCGGCGGACGGCGAAGGCGAGGTTGCCGCCCGCCGGTGAAGCGGAATCACTAAATTCTTAACCTTGCTCTGATACCATGTAAGAAATTATGTATTATTGATTTATTGATTACAAGATTGATTGTTTTGATGTATTGTATTACAAATCAGAGTGGCATTATATAGGAGAGGGTTTGGGTTAGTGAGTGGTGGTAGTGGATGGTAGTGGAGGTGGTGGGTGGTAGTGGAGATGGTAAGTGTGTTAGGTTTAGTGGGGTGGATGTAGTGGGTTAGGTTAGTGGGTTAGGTTTAGTGTACATTAACAATGTGAATGTAGAATATGCGTATGTGTTTTGTTTGGTTTTTTTGGCTAAGTTTTGGGAAGAAAGTGACTGCCAGCCAAGTGTTGAAATTTGAGGTCTTTGGTGGTGGGGTGGGGGCTTTTGAAGATGAATAATAATAATAAATAGTATGAAGAGAGAGGGAGAGAAGTGTTTGGCGTTGTCTGGAAGCTGCTTCTATTTCTGCTTCTGGAGCACGATTGAATTTCTTTGTGGAGTACGGTACAAGCTACAGCTGGCGGGGTTTGGCATCTACGTGTCAGCTTGAGGGGTTCCTCTTTTACCAACGTGGGTTTGTCACGTGTCTCAATTTGGACCGTGTATTCTTCGCCCATCGTTTTTTAAAAGAAATGGCGCCAAATAAAGGTCGGTGGATGCGCGGGAATTAACAAAGATCCAATATTGATTATAATAAGTCGAATTTTTTTTTAAGGTGGTTGATATTAATTTTATAAGAAAAAATGTATATAATATTTTTATATTAGTTAGTATTTTTTAATAGTTTTATTTAAAAAAATTGATTTAGACAAATTTTGGCCGGATTCAAAAAAAATTCAACCTCGATACAGAAAAATTTCAAACAAATTTCAAAACACAGAAAAATTTCTTTAATTTTCTGTGGTTTAGAATTTTCTCTAGATTAAAATTTCTCTTTTTTCAAATTTTTTTTATATTTTGATCAATTTTCTCTAATTTGTTCATAATTTTCTCAGTGTTTTGATCAAATCAAAGAAAATTAAACTACTCCACTGTTCACTATTATGAATTTTTTTTTGATTTCTCTGTGTTTTGAAATTTTCCCAATATCATCCTATTCAAACCCTAAACATAAAAATTGGCCTCGTTTGGTTTGTTTTTCAAAAAAAAATTTGAAAAAAATTCTCTACAAACAAATTTACAAGAGTAATCAAACCAAACAAATTTTTTCAAAAAAAAATCTTAAAATTTTGTTTGGTTACCTACTTTCCAAAATCACTCTCTCTCTCTCTCATACACATCAAATCAATCACCTTTTTTAATACTCTCTCCCCAAAATAATTTTTCAAAACCATTTTTGAGAAAAGACAAACCAAATAAGTTTTCGTACTTTTTATCTCAAAAATTACTTTACAAACACAAACTAAACACATCATTCAAACAAACAAATCAACAATCATCATTACTCAAAAATCGGAAATATAAAATCTCAAAACAGAGAAATTCAAAAAACTAAAGAAAAAATCAAGAGTCAAAGAATAAACCCTAGAAGGAAAAAAAAAAATAAATAAATAAATAAACTCGTATCAAACTAGAGAAATCTCGACATCACCATCTGAAATCTCCTGCTGCAAATCCACCAGAAACACAAGTTTTGAGAATCTCCTTAATAGAACCAATAAGATCTTTTCCCATTGATCTCAGCTTCATGACTTTCGCGATATCGATCACAGTATCGAGTGATATATTGCCTGTGTGGTTGATGTTCTTGGTCTTCTTTCATGGCTGAACTTGGGAATGGGGATCTTCTCGCAGCCGGGGACAAATAGAGTTGGGTGAGATCATTAGCTTCCATAACTAAACTTAATATTTGATGATACTCATGGAGGAAGAGAGCTTGGCGATTTTCTTTGGGAAATAGTGTGAAGAAATGGGTGAGGGACCTTAAGTTACAAAAAAATAAATAAATAAATAAATAAATAAAAATAAATAAATAAAAAAATAAAAATTGTGTACCTCTCTTTAGCAGAAGTTGGAAAGAAATGTTAGACTAATTTTTTCTTATAATAATCATTTAATTTTATCATATTTGTTAATAAATAAATAAAATGAAAACAAATGTTTTTAAAACTATAATTGTCATCTACAGCAGTTTTTTCCATAAATAAATGTGATATATTTTTTTGAATATAAATGTTGAATTAATATAATTTATTTATTTATGAAAGATCTATACATTGTAATTATCAAGATAATAATTTAAATCACCGAAACAAAAATTGTAATAAATCTTACCAATACAATAGTATTAGAGCATCTCCAGCAGCCTTTTCATTTCACCAAAAACTCTACAATAGCAAGCCAAATGCTTAAATTTCTTCTCCAGCAGCCTAGCTACTGTTAAGCCAAACTAATATTTTGCTACAGTACCTCGTTAGGAAAGACGAGGTACTGTGCACTAACTCTTAATTTTTTTATCCTTTCTTAATTCAAATTTTTGTTTCTAAGAATATTTTAATAGAAGATATCTAAAGTATAAGAATATTTTAATAAAAGATAGCTAAAATAGATAGCCTTGTTGGAGTGTATATTAAAAAAATGACTAGCTAAAATAGTAAAGTAAAATTTTGAATAGCTATTTTGACTATCCTTGCTGGAGATGCTCTTATACAACTTGTCTTTGGGTTTGACCCAGAAGTCTTGTAACCACTCTTTAGGGTGTGGTAAGAAGAGGATCAGGAATTTATATTGATAGATTAGCGTTGATCTTTTTAATTGTAATCTAATTTTAGTAATAAATTAACATCTTACAAATTTAAATATTTTACATTTTAAGTCAAATTGCAATATCATTCTTTTGTTCATCAACCTAAAGTGACATTTTAGTGAAAATGTAAGAGTGTTGATGAGGCGAGAAACAATCTCATGTATTGGTCACAGAACAAGCTCCGTCAATCTTATTAACACTAAACTAATAGGAAATGCACGTTCCAATTTGACCAAAAATATAAGGAATTGACCGTTATGATTGAAAAATGAGAAATCAAAGTGAAATTCAGTATAAAATGCAAGGACATAAAGTGTAATTCACCCTTATTTAGAGTTTTTAAAAAAAATTAAAAAACTACCTAGAAAATAGTGTAGACTGTGGAATATTGTGTTCAAAAACTTTGGACTTACCACAACAAATTGTAAATTTCATGTATATGTATTATGTATAACACTATTGTGATAGTTTCAACTTCAAATTGAATCACAAAAATTAAACTTCAAATTGATGAAGAGGTGTACGCTATGCGGGTCATTTTTCTGAGTCAAATTTATTTTATTTTTCCCTTACATCTATGTCTCAATTTTTTATGATTTTCCTGCCACAAGGCCTTCACACTCTAACCTTTCCTATGGAACACCAT